TTATTTTTATTAATGCATATCAAAATTTAACTTAATTTTATAAATTATTTTTGAGATCTTCATTGATAACATTTTCTTCTCCACTCATAGAACATTCTTTCTCTTATTCTTTTAGTTAATTTTGTCTTCTTATTGAACTAATATATTGATCTATGGTGGTTGCGCTAATATACATCCAACACCCCATTTAAAATACAGTCCACGCATCTTATAAGAAGGTTATTAAAATACAAGCATACTTAAAGAGACGATGCTCACTTATTTGAAACATCATTTAGTATTTCTACCAAGAAAATGAAATTTTGGGTCGGTTCCAAACTTAACTTTGAGAACTTAAAATGCCGAAAGCTTTGGGTGCTAACTCGATGTATATTCATGGTAGACAACCAAAGCACTGACTTTCGTTCCATCTTTGCTTACCAATGGAACTTTATGCATAATTGTTTTATTGATCGAATGACACATGAACACTACACTTGGATACACCATCTTATGACAAATAAGCTCATTTCTCCCATTTTTTTCATGTTCTTAAATGATGTGGCTCAAAACATTCGTTCTCCCTCGATAGCTACTCTTTCACAATCTATGATCATTTCATTCATGATGTTGGATTCCTTTGTATGTGGTTGAAGTTCTTTAAATTTTGAGGTAATTTTTCAATTGTAAATGGTGTTACCTTGACAACTCGGTTGGGAAGAAAAACAGTGAAGTAAGAGAAAGAAGATTGTTTTGGTGGAGAATAAAAGGGTATTAATGATGATTCCAAAAATAATTCATAAATTATATTATCATTCCAAAAATAAGGGTAATTTTAGTTCATAAAAAATTAATTTACTATATTACATCATCATTCGTAAACTGACACGTCAATGTTATAGACTACTACATTAATATCATAAATAAATAAAGTGATGAAGGATACCTACATTGATATCATAAATTTAAGTTTAATTTTAATATGTATTAATTAAAAAATTGATTTGGAAAACAAAATCCTCATATAAATGACATGAAAAAATATTGATATGGATTTTTTAAGTGGTTGGAACCACTGATGACGTGTGGAAATGATCCATGGAATGTTATATATATATATATATAGAAAAGGCAGAAGGTTCGAAGGTAAAATATAATGTATATATGAAGTACAAAACTTATTATATATATATACATAATATAACGCGCTAAATATCATAGAAACTAAGCATTATATGCATATATTTGAAAGCATGTATAAAATAATATATTTAATATTAATAAATTAAATAATACTTTATATTATACTTAACATAAGGAAATTAATTAAAATATACACATATATATATATATTAACACATTCTTGAATCATCCTAAATAAGGTATAAAATATATTTAATATATAAGTGTGTATATATATATTACCATAAAAATAAAACATATAATACATGGTATGAAAATTACCTAATATATATATTTATATATAACATATATTACGTTTAAATAAAAAAACGTATATAGTAGGTATCTCATAAGTAACTTAGGTAATATAATATAGGGTAAATATGTATATACATACATAAGGAGACATAACATAGTGACCAAAGTAAAAGAACAACAACTTTAAGGTAACATCAATGAACATGGTTAAGAACAAGTATCAAAATGTAAAATCGTGAAATACAAGGACATGAAAAGAAAATAGACACAAACATTAAGCATGACCAAATTGAAAACATTCAAAATCAAACATCCAATGTATAGATTAGCAAAAGTATAAATGTAACACCCACAGACCGATACGGGTGACTCGATCCGAGGTGTCACATTAGGGTCACCGGAGCGACCCACATTAAAAATCTCAGAAAAATTAAATTTTTTGTTAAAACATGTAAAATCATAAGACATTTATAAACACAACAATAATATTTAACAATATTCAGAAATAAAAAAGATTCTAGACTCGGATATAAAAACAAAATATAACCTACATGCCCACTAATAACATGCACCGTACTCCGCAAGAAACGCCGGTGGAACTCCCTTACCGATGTCAATAGTTGCACTGGTTCAATCCTTTTAACCTGAAATAGTAAGTTAAAGAGTGAGCTTTGGGAAGCTCAGTAATACAGAACTACCTATTGATGCTATAAGATATGTAGATAAATGTAGAACAATAAAATTTCCTTCTTGAATCAGACGTATATAGGTTTTCGGGATAAGTTGGGGTTCCACTGGTAGTTGATCGAGTAAAAGCCATTAAGATCTTAGTTCATAGAAAACATTCAGAGTACAATGTTTTCAGGAAACTAGAATAGGGTGTCTAGTGTGTTCCAACCAAAACCAATGAAAAGATATAAATCTTTTTTTAAAACAATAACCGTTTAAAACATGTTTTCAAAACCTTAATAGAACGCTCCAACCAAACAATGTTATGCAGTTCCTCAGAACTGCATCCATAAGGGTTTACCCTAAGTACAAAACAAAGAGAGCCACCCTAAGGGAATGCCTTGGGGTCTGAGAGCCTACCCAAGGCTCACCTTAGAGCCGTAATGATTTACTAGATGGATCAGGGCTGAACCTCCATACTCGAGAATTGTACCCATATAAAATCCAATAGAAATCAATTTTAACAGTAAACCGTAATATCTGAATCGTGATCCAGTAAAATATCGTAAACGTGACAATGAAATAAACCATATAATTGTCCTTCACCTGTACACCATAAGTAGTCCCACGATTAACCCAAGGGAGTGCCTTGGGGCTTGAGAGTCTACCCAAGAAAGTTTCTCGGGGGCCTTAGAGCCTACCTAAGGGTCACCTTAGGTCCATAAGGATTTACCAGCTTGATCAGAGCGGAACCTTCACCATACCCAGATAATGTCCCAATAATATAGTTCAAATAGTAACCAAATGAAAACAGGAAACCATAGTTCATAAACCAATAAATTCCATGATTCCATAAATCAAGAGAAATCATATTTTTCCAGTGAAAATCGTAATCAGAGAACACATACCATGTTGCCATGGTTCATAAACCAATAAATCAATAATTTCGGTAAAGCGCATTTCAAAACATATAAAACAATCATGCAGTACATGGGGAACACACTAGAGGATCCATGTATTTTAATTATTTTGGGATTTAGAGGTATTTCAGTAATTTGTATAACAGAGTTACTTTAATATTCCACAGGTCGACGGTATTTTGGTAATTTCTTTTCAATCCAAGCCTATGTATATTTTCTAGTAATTTTTTAGATCTATCCGTTCAGAGTTATTTGAAATTTCAAGATTTAATAATTTTGAATTATCAAGATTTCAAGTCCTATTTGAGCTACAAGTCCCAACACTACGATACTTGTCAATCATTCGTACTATGATACTTCACTATTATTCATTTCTTAACAATGAATGCACTAGCTGAACTGGTCAATATCAGAATCGTCACTGAAAGGTTCTTAGGGAGACGAACATGTATTCTAATGGTATTTATTTCATTTATGTGTTGCAACGGTGTTCCATATGTCGATATGATTATTTTATGGTTTAAAAAGCTTATGGATGTACAACATATAAGATCATCAATGTTTCTAGACTTATCCAAGTTATTCACTTAATACTATGTCATTGAGAGTACTTAGGTCATTGAGAGTACTTAGGTCATTTAGTAGTCAAGTTTATCCTAATCACTTCAAAATTTCCAGAGTAATCCAGTCGTTTCCACAATTCGATACATAAAATACTTCCACTTAGTTTAACTTGGTTTATATAATATAGTCATTTTACACTTCGAGGGTATTTCGTAATTTTACCCCATAGTGCTATTTTTGGTGATTTTATATCCAATTATTCCCAACATTTAACCTTTAACGAGATTAATCATAATTTACGAGTTCTAAGATTGATTGATTTTACTTATTAAATCATTGAACTTAGATTTGTTTCTGATCGGTTTACCAATTTCTTTTATGAGTCGTCTGAGTCTTATACAATATTCCATCCTTAAACCAATTTTCTTCTGAGTCCAAAGATAGTTAACTACCCGAATAGATCAATTATTTTCATTCATGCATTTACCATTTATCAGTGAGTCTCGAAAAGCATACAAAAGGTAGTAAAGTATTACCTCAGTTTTTGTGCCATATCGATCGACCATTTAAACTCCATTTGATCGCCCACGATCTTTAATTCAATGTCCAATAATTCCTCTAATACACAACAACATAAATTTCATCAGAAACAGAGCTTAATTGTGAAAAAAAGATCGAATCGAGTGATTAATCAATGTAAAACATCTTACTGGGTTTGAATTTAGTCAAACAGACCTAAAAACAAACTCAGGATGTCAAAAAACATAAAATAAGATCCTTTCGAAAAAGTTAACTTTTTGGTCAAAGTCAACAGTCAAAGTCAACGAGTTAACTCGGACGAGTTGACTCAGACGGGTTGACTCAAACCGAGTTGACTCGGTCGGGACAAACAGATCTGTTTCGATATAGTTAACCGGTTCAGGCTAGTCCAAACCGGCTGGACTGGTTCTAGAATGTTTCTATAGCAAGAGAGGAAACCCACACGCACATGAAGGCGTGTGGCGGCGGTGATGACCTTGGGGTGGTCGACCAATTACTCCTTAGGCAGCTAGGGTTGGTGAAGAAAAAAATTGGATTTTAATTTTGGGGATTTTCCCCCTGATCAGGGGTTATTTTTTAGTTTATCAAAAAATGGGATAATTCTAGGTTGGGTCGTCGAATTTCCTGAAACTTCCTAAAACTTCCTATAAGTTTCAAAAACCTATAATTTGACCCCATAAATTGGGGTGTGACAATAAACAAATGAACATAGAGGACTAAAATGGATTATCTTCAAAACTTAAAGACCATATACAAAATAAGCCCATTGATAAAATAAGCGCTGTCCTTAACCCATATTAGCTCAAAACGGCGACACTGGTTTTATTAAACCTTAATTAGGCTTTTAAAAAAGAAAACCCTAAAGTCTATTATGTCTAACCTCTCCCACTTCAGCCGCTCCTTTTCTCTACAATTTTTCTCTCTCCCTCTATTTTTCATTCTCTTTTAGAAAATACCAAAAGAATATCCCCCAACCACAGTAAATCGACGGTGGGCGGGGGGGGGGGGGACACAAACGCTTCTCATTCATCAAAATCCGAAAACCACCCTACAAAACACCAAAAACAATCCCCTCTCTCAACCTAAAAAGAAATCGATTTAAACCTAGATTTAAAGGGCACAAGGATACCTTCGATGATATGAGCAAGGTAGTGGCTCCAATGACGGTCGTGCTTCTCTAAAGAAAAAGGTAAGGGTTTTTGGTTGTTTTATCTTTAAGTTATTTTCTTTATTTTCTCTTTGGGTATTGTTCATGTGTATTTTAATTGCTAAAAAAGGATCCCCTCGTTTTCGTCTTTAATGCACAAGTCTTTATAGCCAAATCTATCAGCTCTCTTTTTTTATCCATCGTATAATGTTAGATCCAGAAGATCATGCCCTATTGATGATTTTCCCCTTTTGATGTCCTTTGCAACAATGATTTTTTGGCACAAAAATGAAAAAAAAAAAACAAGTTTTCTTGCTGGTGATAGGGACGAGTGTATGAGATCCTTGAAGAAACTATACAGCCCAACGTGCCTCCCAAACATTGAAAATGGAGCCATCAAGCGCTTTTGGGGAATCTGGAATATCACGCATGCTTCACTGGCGTTGGATTCAGCCATCTGATGCGTCTGAGGCTTTCTGGAGCAATTGGGGTCGTTGGATCATCACCTATATCCAACGTCTGATATCAATGGCGGCTAGGGCTAAGATATTCTTTAAAATTAGAGTTTTTCCATGGCTGTTAGATTAATCAGATCTCATGGCTCATAACACATGACAACTAGTGTTTAAAGCCATTGGGGTTTCACATGTTTTAAGTTTTGGGTCATTTGGGTCGATTTAGTTTGTTCTTAGGTTACATTTGTGATTTAGGTTGTAAATGGACATTTAATTATTTATTTTTGGGTTTTGGTTTAATTTAACTTGGGCTAAAATATGGATGGACAAAAAATTATAATTACAGAATCCATAGTAGAAAGGTTGGTTGTTAGCCAGAAAAGTTCCAACAAAAGACTAAGGTAGATTGTCAAGAATTCAATTAGCAAATGAGCCAACTTACATTAGTTCGAGTCATTTGGAGTTCCAAGGCAAACTAACATCTTAGACAGAACCAATTCCTTGAAACAATGTGTGCCACGACCTTAAGAAGCGGAAATGTTGTTGAATTTGAAACCAGAAAAGGTGATGACTCTAGATGCACAAAGTATAAGGATAAACTAGAACCCTTAACTGAATTAATGGTTCCATTACCATATGTCGATCCTCCCCAATTCTTAGGAAGGCTTTATAAGTGCAACAGCGAGAACGAAGAGAATGAGAATTTTGACGTTTTTTTGGAAAGTTGAGATAAACATACCTCTACTTGATGCAATTAAACAAGTCTCAAGGTATGCGAGATTTCCAGAAGATCTTTGTATAAATAAAACAAAACTCTCCGAGAATGAAAAAGTAAATTTAGCTGAGAATGTTTATGCAATCCTTCAAAGAAAAATTCCACCTTAGTATAAGGATCAGGGTATGTTTGCTATTCCTTATAAAATAAGTTAGCCATAAAAAAAATGCTATATGCGATCTTGGTGCATCAATTAATTTTGCATTATCTAATTTTAAGTTACCAAACACTGGTCCTTTGAAAGAAACAATGGTGGTCATTTAGTTAGCTGACAGCACAACGGTTTATCTAGAATAAGTCCTAAAGAATATTTTCATCAAGGTAAATGAATTAGTATTTCTCTCAAACTTTTACATCATTGATATGAAGGATGATCAATTAAACAATTCTTTCAAAAATATTCTCGAAATACCATTTTTGAGCACGATGCAAACAAAGATTGACGTACGGAGCAGAATACTCACCATGGAGTTTGATGACAAAGTGGTGAAGTTTGATGTTTATAAATCCAAGAAATATCCTAGCTCGATGTATATTGTTAGTTATATTGATATAATTGAACCATTTATAGATGAATATATTGAACATAACTTTTTTGATAGATTGTGCAAGGATTTAAATGATGAAGTCGTAAAGTCGATAGATTTAGATAATGTTTCTAACATCCGTTTGAGATTATGCCTAGTACATTCTACCCTAAACTTTTACCTTGCATATTTTAGAAACCAAAGCTAGAGTTGAAGCCACTGCCAGAATATTTGAAGAAGTTTTTGGGTGAATGAGTTACCTTATTGGTTATTCTTTCAAACAAGCTTTCAAAGCTACAAAAGATCATAAGAAAAACTTATGAGAGTGTTTGAATCTAAAAGGATGAGACGAATGAATTCCATGGTCGTAGAATTTCTCATAAAGAAGTTCTCAGTTGGATAAAAGTGTATGAAGTGGAGGAAGTATCTCTCATGGAAACTATCGTTTGAGTAAGGTACTATAAGGATTCTACCTATTTATGGCTTCAACACCATTAAAACCAACATTGAGAAAATTCTTTCCCTTTTTTTGGCAAAAAAAAACCATCGATGTGCATGAGGTTGACTCTAGACATGGGGAGTATTCTACTTTTTTTTCCTTTCACTTGCATTTTTTTATAAAACATTAGGTACAATACACTTTAAGTGATGGGGTGGAATCAAATTTTGACTTGCTTGTTCTAGCTTGTTTGAAGGTTTATTTTGATGATTGTGATGGTCACTTATCTTGACTGACTTAGGTTGTTATAATCCCTTATCGCCTGCTTGAGTTGATGTTGTTGTGCATGTATAAATTGATTTGGATTGATGAGGTGAAAGTTGATGAATACCTTTAACCTTTTGATGCAATATTGATCAGCTTGCTTAAATATGAGTTTGCTTATGTATTGTTAACTTCGTTTGACGTTGTAATCAGGTGTGCTTCTTCATTATGAGATGATTATGAGTGGTGGATCGAGAATTTGACCGAATTGAAGAATCGTGGTGAATTGTTTGAGTTAAAAAATATTTTCATTTCAAATATTTGAAGACAAGTTGAGGATACGAAGTTAAAAAATGCACAAAAAAATAAAATTGAAAAAAAGAAGCGCAGAAGAAAGAGATAGAAGAGTAAAACAAAAAAAAACACGAAGAAGAAAAAAAATTCTGAAAAAATAAAAGAAAATAAAATATTAAAAAAATAGAGTGTTACAAAAGGGTAGGAAAATAAAACTCACACTACGACAATCATCCACCATAGGAAGAAGGCTATTGTTGGTTCGATAATGTCTCACTTTCAAGCGAACAAACAAAAATTATGCATTGTTTATTATTGTTCATTGGCTTGTTTGTTTTTATTGATTCATTTCATCTCCAAACATGCTTTGGATTTTAGATGAAAGTTATCGAATAAGTTTTGGTTAGGTGATGAAAGTGAAAATTGAGATATGCTTGAGGATAAGCATTGAATAAGTGAGGGAGAATTTGATATGTGTAATGTTACATATTTTTAGTATGTTTTATTCCTCATTTTGTCGTCTATAATTACTAATTAGTCACTTTTTTGGTTTATTTTGGTAAGGAAATTCATTGGATTATTCGGCCCAAAAAAATCAGTAGTTGAAGGTAGAGTTTGGAGTTCAGTGGAATTCGTGGAAGGAATTGTAGGCACGACGTGAGGCATGACGTAATTCCAATCCAATGCAACAAAATTCGACAGTACAATCAGCAGATTCTATAATATCGATCGTCATAATCTTGAAGTCAAAATTTGGGAATATCTAGAAGAAAAATACTTTGGATATAAAGATGTAGTTATCCAAAAGATAAAGCATAATTTAACTGGAGCCATCAGTTTTAAATATTTATCTTTATTTTTTATGATAAACTTTTAAGTTTAAATTTAGTTCATTAGTTTAATTTTTTATCTTTATCTTATCTTTATTTTTGGGATTTGGTTATTATATCCCTTTAAGATCCTCAGATATAAATATCCCTTTAGGTTAAATGTTTTTATACAGATTGGATTTGGTTATTTTCCTTGGTTTAATAGAAGTTCTATTTGTTTTTCATCTATTTACTTTTCTCTTTATTTATCTTTTCCATAAAAAGCTAAACATGATCCAGTTCATGCTTAACTAAAGTTCTAATTAGCCTAAAGCTTTGCGATGCTCAAATCTAAATAACGAGAATTAAGACTTGTTCTTCATATCTTTAAGACATTATTCTTTGATTATCTAAAAACTAAGAGTGACAATCAACCATTCCTTTAAAAGTTACAATTTTTTCAACTTAAAAATACGTCGTTGCCTTGAAAGGTGTTTTGGCTTGAAGTTTGGGAGTCGAGTTGGTTGGTCATAATTCGGATTCCTATGAATAATCTTAACAGTAGTTTGCTAAGTGAATCAAGATCGAATTTGATTCTCATAGAGATGCTACAACTCGAGTTGGGCTCTTCTAAAACTCAAAGCTATCTTGGTGCTAACAATGATAGACGTAGTTAGACTGGTAAGGACCGGATTTTAAAAATAGACATGGAAATTTTGGTTAACAAGAGAGAAGATTTAGTTGCGGGGGTTGGTCCCTTTAGAATGTAACCAACGTACAATAAAGGAGGGAAAATTAATTCAAATGATCGATCGAAATTGAGGTTAGCAAAGCCAAAGGATAAACTATCACAGTCAAATTCTTTTACCTTTATTTACCATTCATTATTTTCGTTTGTTATTTTTACCTTATCATTTTATTGTTTCTAAACCCCCACTTTTTATTTTTGTAGTTTACTCAAACCAAGAAATGAAGTCGTCAATTTCCTTAGTCCATGTGGATCGAACATACTTCTCTATATTACTTTTTTTATTTATTATTAGAGATTAGGATTTTTATTTGGAAAAATTAGCATTGTCATTCTTGTAACATAGCAGCTTAATAAATAAAAATATATCTATTAATCACAATCTTTATGGTTTCTGGACACCATAATTTAGACCCTTTTACACCTAAAAAGACTTACTCCATAGATCTCAACTCTAAATTTCTCCTATAACCATGAGAATAGGTAGGATAAAAAAAATTCAAATTACACTAATAAGGATTTCTCATACATACCTCATGTTGAGTCTTCTTCCTAATGATAGTTTAATAAGACATATTAATTAAAAACAAGTTTTGGAGATAGCTTCAGCCAAAAAAGTGTAGGGTAAACCACCATTAGACAATATATAATGAGCTTCCTCCAATATTATTTTGTTGATCCGCTCTGTGACACCATTATTTTTGGGTATGGTGTATTGTCAAGTGTCTCACGATCCCCTCATTTTGGCATAACTTATTAGATTCATTCGAACAAAATTTTAAGTCAATATCGGCTCGAAGATATTTTACTGTTTCCCTTTTTTATTTTTTGATCATTAGTTTCCAATCTTTAAATATGGAGATTTTATCACTCTTCTTAAGAAAGAAGGCCTAAAACTTCCTAGAGAAGTCATCAATGATAGTCAATATACAAGTAGCACCTCCTTCAGAAAGCACTCTAGATAGACCCCATAAATCACAATGTATATAGTCTAGAGTACCTTTCATGTTGTGAATGCCCTTGGTGAATTGGACCTTTTTTCGCTACCCTAAGATGCAATGTTCACAAAAAACCAATTTATAAATTCTTTGACTATCAAGAAGTCCTCTTCTGCTCAACTTGGCCATGTTTTTCTAACTCATATGTCCAATGCATTCTCATTTATACAACAACAATATCACGTACTACTGTATAACCCTAGAGAACATATAATGTGTCAGTCTTCTTTTCTTCTTTCATTATGACGAGGGAACCTTTGCTGACTTTTAGAACTCTACCATCAGTGGAGTACTTATACCTTTTCAATTCTATGATACTTAATGAAATTAGATTTCTCTTCAAATCCAGTACATGTCGTACATCATTGAGAATTATGACGACACCATCGAACATCTACACTAATATTGTTCATGTTCCTGCAATTCTATATGAGGTATTATTACCC